AGGACAGAGCTGTCCGAGTACTCCAGAGATCTAACTTCCTTGACCTTTGCTCCTCTTTCATCAGATGGAGACTCAGCAGGCGCAAAGAGGCTCAGCCATCTCCTTCCCAGAAACTACTTATTTCTCAGCGTCCTAGTTTTGTCTCTGTAGCTGTGACAGATGCCTGCAGGAAAAAGCAACTTAGGGAAGGAAGGGCCTGTCTTGGCTCCCAGTCCCCAGTTACAGGCCAGCGTTGTGAGGAAGTTGCAGCAGGCACTCGAAGCATCATATCCGCTATCGAGAGCAGAGAGAGAAAGTGCCTGGGTCCTTGCTTGCCTGTTCTCAGCTAGCTTTCTTCTCAGTTTCACAGTTCAAGACTCCGTGCCCCAGGAACGATGCTGCTCACAGTATCTGGATCTTTTCCTATCAGTGGGCTTAAGACAATCCCCCACAGACACCTGACCTAGATAATCCCACACTGAGGATCTCCTCTCAGGCAACTGTAGGTTGCGACAAGTTGACAATTAAAAACTAATCAGATGGGACAGAGGTTTAAGAACGTGTACTTCTCTTAAGAACTACAGTTTGACCAGGCAGTAGTGAAGCACACCTTTAATCCCAGCACATGGGAGGCCGAGGCAGGCAGATCTCTGTGAGTTCGAGGCCAGCCTGGTCTACAGAGTTCCAGGACAGCCAGGACTGTTACACAGAGAAACCTTGTCTCGAAAAACCAGAAAACAAAACAAAACAAACAAAAACCCTACAGTTTGGTTCCAGCACCCACATCAGGCAGCTGCCTGTCACTCCAGGGGACCAGATACCCTCTTCTGGCTTCCAAAAGCACTATACGTATGTGCACATGTGCACACAGATTCACACACAGTTGGAGATAAAAATAAAAATATTTAAAAAGCTAACCACCACACCCAGGTGGTGACTTTTGTTCCGCTTTGCTCCTGTGCCCGTTGTCAGAATGTCTAGGGCAGTTCTGCAAGACGGGAGGGACTCCAATGACAGAAAACGGGATGGGGGGACCTTTTCCCAAGAGGATCACACAACCCTGCTCTTCTCTATTTGACTTCCAGACGCCATTTGATTTCACCAGCAGTGAGATAGAAAACAGAAAAGGACCACGGAATGCTACTTGATAGAGAGATTTTGGAACGGCTCCCGCAAGGGACCTCTAGAGGTGAATGAAAAAACCGGGGCACTGGGGAGATGGCTCGGTCAGAAAAGTTCATGGAGACCTGAATCATGATCCCCTAAGACCCATGGAAAATGCCAAGCACGACAGCACGCATCTGTCATCCTGCTGCTGAGGAGAGACGCGGCAGGATCTCTGGGGTTTGCTTGCCAGTCAGGGCAGCTGAGTGAACGGACTTCAGTTTCAGCAAGAGACTCTGCCCCGAAAATAAGGTGGATGGTCACAGGATGTCAATATCTGGCCTCTGCATACACACACGTGCATGCACAACTCCCCTCCACTCACACACACACACACACACACACACACACACACACACTTAAGATAAAATAAGGTGGATGGTCACAGGATGTCAATATCTGGCCTCCACATATACATATGAGCATGCACAATTCCTCTCCACACTCACACACACACACACACACTCACACTCATACATACACACACTTTCTCTCTCTCTCTCTCTCTCTCTCTCACACACACACACACACACACACACACACACACACTCATACACACATACACACTTAAGATAAAACCTTATCCAGTAGGTGAGGGCTCAAGCCTTTCTCTAACCACTGTTGTCTTTAGACAAGAGGCTTCATCTTGCTGAGCCTCAGTTTTCTCATCTATAACCACGAGGGTAAAATGAGCCCTATCTGGGAGCTGTGACCAGGTGGCCATGGCACTCTGTAATGAATGCAGCAACTGAGGTGACCCAGCCAGGTGATCCAATGTCATCCGTTCTAGTTACATACAACAGTTTGACCACAGTGAGTCTTGTCTTCTTGGGTGTTTAAAGACAAGAAAGCAAGGGCTGAAGATATGGCTCAGCCATTAGCAGCACTTGCTCCTTTTGCAGAGGACCCAAGTTCAGTTGCCAACACCCAAACTTGGCAGCTCGCAACCACCTGTAACTTTAGCTTCACAGGATCTGGATCCAACAGCCTCTTCTAGCCTCCGTTGGCTATTTGAATACAGGTGGCACACACACACACACATGCACGCACATACAGATAGAGAGTGTGTGTAAGCTGGGGGTGGTAGTGGCACGTGCCTTTAATCCCAGCACCCAGGAGGCAGATCACTATGAATTCAAGGCCAGCCTGGTCTATGGAATGAATTCCAGGCCAGCCAGGACTACACAGTGAGACCCTCTGACTATAAGTAAATAAACAAACAGACAGGCAGACAAATGACCTACCTTAAAAAATAAGTTGATTGTTACATCACCTTTTTGCAATACTAGCCCTGGAGAGGCAAAGACAGGAGGATGGCTGTGCCTCACCTAGCTGAACTGTTGAGTTCCATGTGAATGCAAGAGATTCTGTCTTAAAAACTAAAGTGGAGTCTATCGTAACAACAGCAAGGTTGTCCTCTGGTCTCCACAGTTCCATATGTATACACACACACACACACACACACACACACACACATGCACCTGCACACACATAAATACACACATACACTTAAATAAAAAGAAAGAAAACAAATCAAGTCTGGTAGTAGAAACGGTAAAGCTAGCTGCGGGGGAGGGGGAAGAGGCAGATTTCAAGTTCAAGGCAGCCCTGAACTACACTGAATGTCACACCACCCTGGGGATCTTAACAAGACCCTGTCTTGAAAAGTAAAGGGGCTGGTCAGAGATATGATTCAGTGGGTGAATAACCTGAGCCGCATCCCTGAGTCTCAGGTGGTGGAAGACGGAGCAAACTCCCCTAAGTTGTCCTCCAACTCCACCTGTGTGCCATTACTCAGGTGTCACCAACCCAGCCCCTGCCCGTACACACACACACACACACACACACACACACACACACACACACAATTAATTAATTAATGTTAAACATAGGAAAAGGAGAGCTGAGAGCGTGTACCTCAGTGGGAAAGCACTTGGCTAGCATGCACAGAACCTCAGATATAGCCCCCCTTAGTATTACAAAAATAATATTAATTAAAAAATTCATTAACCTCAAGAAGCCTCAGCATTGAGTATGTAAAAAAACTCTGCTGATGGCTAAGTATGATATTTTAATGTAATTATCACATACCAGTTTTCCTCTTTTCATTAGACCAGCTGTTATCCTCTAAAATAGTTTTTAGTTGAGTGTGTGTGCGTGTGCATTTGTGTGTGTGTGAGCATGTGTGTTTGTGTGCATATGTGTGTGTTTGTGTGTATGTGTGTGCGGGGGCGTGTGTGATGCGAGCACGGGTGCCCTCTGAGTCCACAGGAAGGCCTTGGATCCACTGGAGATGAAGATACAGATGGCTGTGATACACCTGCTGTGGGTGTTGGAACTCAAACTTGGGGACTTTGCAAGCACCATGTTTTCTTAGACACCGAACCACCTCTCTAGCCCCCAAACCGTTGGTTTTCAAAGTGTGAAAGAGGGATAGACTTTTTAACTTCCCAGGACCTCTTGGGTGACTAGAAAATAAACTTTGAATTCCCCTCATTTTTTTTTCATGAGGCCAAGAAATCTTGACCCTCCCTGTGTCTCTTCTTGCAGCTCAGACAATTGCTCCTTCTGTTAGCCCTTTGGTCAGGTTGCTGAAAGGGCTCCATCCCTCAGCTCTTTCTGGTCAATGCAACCGAGAAGCCCAGAGCTTATCCTTCCCAGGGATTCTGTGAAGCAGATGTAATTATCCTGACATATGTAGATGAGGGAACACAGAGGAGTTACACAGTTTGCCCAAGGTCATTCAATTAGCCAATGACAGATTCAGTGGGCTCCTTCCACCATGCCTGAAGCAGCTAGCCTCCAGTGAGCAACAGCAAATCGCCCCAAAGCCACAGAGCCAACTCCGGACTCAGAATGATCCCAGAAAGGACAAGGTCCATACAAGATCTTCTGAAACTGGAAGTCTGAACCCTATATGGTGGAATGTGCAATAATCTGAGAGCTCTAGGGATTGAGACAAAAGAATCTTGAGTTTGAATGAGTCTAAGTATAACCCAGGCTACATATGGAGACTATATCTCACAAGCATGCCAAATAGCAGCAGCAGCAACGACAAGAAAATCTAACAAAAAAGGAGGATGAGAAGGGAGAGGAAGAGGAGCAGGAGGAGAAGAAAGGAGGAGGAGCAAGAGGAGGAGGGGAAAGGAGGAGGAGGAATAGAAGGAGGAGAAAGGGAAGGGGAAGGAGGAAGAGGAGGAGGAGGGGAAGGAGGAGAGGAAGGAGAAGGAAAAGGAGAAGGAGAAGGGAAGGGAAGGGAGGGGAAGGGAAGAGGGGGGGAGGGAAGGGGGGAGGGGAGGGAAGGGAAGGGAAGGGAGGGAGGAACGAAGAAAGAAAGAAAAGAAGGAAGGAGGGGCTAGAGCGATGGCTCCGTATTGGCTTGAGGTGCCTGCTGTATAAGATGAGGACCGGAGTTCGATCCCTAGCAGTCACAGAAAGGCTGGCACAGCACCACAGGTCTCTAACTCCAGCACTGGTGAGGTAGCAAGAGTTGGGCTCTAGGAACTCACTGGTCAGAGCCAACCGCACTGAAACAGTGAGCTCCAGATTCAGTGAGACACCTTGTCTCCCAAAACAAGAACTTGATAGCGGAAGATGCCTGGCACCGACTTCTGGTTGCTGCAGGAATGGGCGTTTGTACTCCATTCCCACGTGTGTACATGACCTCTGCACACAAAAGGAAAAAAGAAAGGAGGAAGAAGTGAAAACAAACGCACAAGGCAGAATTAGAGACACTGTATCTATTAACTTGGCCCTGACTTTTTAAGCGTTGGGACAAAGCTGCTTCTTGTCCCGAAGATTGGTAACTACAGGGCACGTGGAGGCCCTGGGTGAGCTGCCCAGGCAGGTGCACCTACCTCCTTCAAACTCCGTCTGGCAGTTCCCGGAGGTCTCGTTCAGGCTCTCCTCCTCGTTGATAATGATGTTCTCGATGTCCTTCATCGTCAAGTGATCCCGGAAGGCGTGGTACAGGATGTGCTTCAGCTCCTCCAGGGTGACCCTTTGCATATCAAACTGCAGAGACAAAGAACCGCAAGAGGGCTGTGAAAATGGGTGCGAACTCAGCTGGGATGCCATCGGCGTGCCCGGAAGCTCCCCGAGAAAATGAGTTTTGGGATACCAGATGAGCAGCGTTCCGTCTGCTCGGCTCCCAGCATATGCGCGGTCAGAGTGAGTGAAATATAGCCTCCTTCATTTAGGAGACAAAGAGTAGAAGCTACTTGCTGGCTGGATTGATCATCAACCAGCCATCTGCTGTCAAGCCCCCCCCCCCCGCATTTTAGGTTCTATAGCGTGGTACCATACTTTAGACCACGCATATGTTTCTAACATTCTATCATTTTGCAAGAAACCAGCCATTCCCATCTTGAGTTTCCACTTTGGACAATTGCATATGCTTCCGTTTTTTTTTTTCATCATTTCCGAAGGAACCAGCAATTCCGATTTTGCTTTAAAGTGTGAACTTGTACATGTCTGCTGGGGTTTGACTGTGAATTCCCTCCCCACCATCCCTCCAACAGAGTTACCGTGTTGGAAGTCTTGTCTCAGTGCTATGGTGATGAGGTAGGAGAAACTTTAAGAAGTGGGACATGGGGCTAGAGAGTTTGTTCTGTGTTAAGAACACTTTCTGCTTGTCCGGAGGACCTGAGTTTGGTTACTAACATCTATGTTGGGCAACTCACAACTGTCTGCAACTCCAGCTAAAGGGAATCAGACTTCCTTTCCTGGTCTCTGAGAGTACATGCTCACACATGGTGCACATGCATCTATGCAGGACCACATACATACACAGATAGGAAAGACTGAATATTATTTAAAAAAAGAGATGGGACTTGGTGGCTGGTTGGGTCACTGAAGGGTGCCTCAGTTCCAAGATGGGTCTCATGGTTTTTTCTGGTTGTGTGTGTGTGTGTGTGTGCATGGATGCACACAAGTGAGTCTATGTATATGTATGCATACACATATATATATACATGGGTGCACATGCATGTGGAGGCTGGATGTTGTCTGGAGTAATCTTCCATTGCTTTTCCACCTAATTCACTGAGGCAGGCTCTCTCAATCAAATTCAGAGCTTGCCAATAGGGCTAATCCCTCTAGCCAGCTTGCTAGATCCCCTGTTCACATATCCCCAAGGCTGGATTACAGGTATATATGCCACCATGCCAACTGTGCATCTCCCTGGGTTCTAAGGCACTGGACACTGGTCTTCAGGCTTGCGTGGCAAGAGCTTTAACCACTGAGTTATCCCCCCAGCCCCACAAGTATAACTGTTATAAAAGCCCAAGTCACTTTCTGACTTCCTGTCTTCCCATATGATCTCTCCTGCATGTGTTTCTGCCATTGTGATGGTGTCTACTTCAAGGCCTTCATTAGTGGCAAGGGAGAGGTGGTACCCTGCTCTTGCCTTTCCAATGCTAGAGCCTGCATCAGTGTCTTCTCTGCAGAAGGGATTCCACTACAGTGATGGACAATGACCTAATACAGTAGAGTCATTATTTTTCTCATTGCTATGACCAAACACCCAGCAAGGCGGCATCAGGAAGCATTGGTTTATCTGAGCTCACAGTTCAAAATGACACAGTCCACCAAGGTGGGGAAGGCACAGGCAACAGGAACTTGAGGCAGCCAGTCACCTTGCATCCAGAATCAGAGAGAGAGGGATGCTGGTGCTCAATTCACTCTCACCTTTGTACCCAGTCTCAGATCTCAGCCCATGGGATGGAAGGTGGATTCACCTCCATCAGTGAACTTAACCTGGGAACTTCCTCCCAGACATGCTCCAGAGGTTTCTATCCTGTGTGAGTCTACATCCTATCGAGTCGACAGTCAAGATTAATTAACCATCACACAAAGGGAGGTAATGGGGGCCCATGACTGAAACGAGTCCACACAACACTGAAAGCCAAGTCCTACACATTTCCCTCTCCTTCCTGCCTTTTCAAGCATTTGAAAAGTATGCACCTAGTTCTAGGAAATTAAATTGAGTTACTGAAACTTATTGGGAAAGTCAAGATGATTCAAGTCGAAAGCCCTGTGTGAATCAGAGCAACAGATGGGCATTTGGATGTTGGATGTGTTTTCTGCATTATAGTTTAGTGACTTGTCACAAAACCAGGCACAATGTCCCTTCACATTGGATAAATGAGGAATGTAACCCACGTGCAGGAACGAGGCACAAAGATGGCAGAGGAGAATAATTCTGATGCGAAAATGGGGATCCTGTCTTAGCTAGGCTTAACTGTCAACTTGACACAGTCTAGAGTCTCCTTAGAAAGAAGTCTCAAAGGGAGGGATGGTCCAGATCAGATCGGCCTGTGCGAATGTTTACGGGGAACTGCCTTGACTGTTAATGAATGGTTGTGTGCGTGTGTGTGTGTGTGTGTGTATGCATGTGTGTGTGCATGCATGTGTGTGTGCGTGCACATACACATACACCACTGTGGGTGGTACCGTTCCATGAATAGGTGGCTCTGGGGCTGTGAGCAAGCCCAGATATAAGCCCTTTCCTATCCAAGTTTTGGGTCAGAGTGATTTATCAGGGCAACAGAATAAAGTCAGAACAGATCCTCTGCCATGGTCAGAGATGAGTAATGTTGACGTCAATCAGATTCTTTGGGGGAAGAAATGAGTCATTACTTCTTAGAAGACCAATGTAAGAGGTGGAGCACTGCCTGGAGAAAAATTAGACCACTTTAAAGAGCTTTCTGACATTCAGAAACTCGGCAAAAAGATGGACTAGAGGCTAGGAGATGGGAAATAAAGATACAAGTTCCCTGGCTCCACTGTTTAGGCTGAGTCTTATAATCACTAGAAAATCCTGTGGCACACTGGACAGTGATGGCATGTGCCTTTAAGCCCAGTACTTGGGAGGTAGAGGCAGGCAGATTTCTGAGTTCAAAGATAGCTAAGGCTGCAGAGAGAAGCCTTGTCTAGAAAAACAAAACAAACAAAATACACTGTGGCTTGTAAAGCAAATGTTCCTCAGCAGCAATCGGTAGAAGACTTGGTCCCTAGCTGCTGGTGATGTTGAGAGGAGACTGAATCAAGGCGTTGGCTTTGTCTACGAATTATTAGTGAGTCCATAGCTGAATGGATCCTGTAGTGTGAGATGTGTTTCTGTATATGTGTTGCTTTTATTGGTTGATGAATCAAGCTGCTTTGGCCTAGGGCAGAATATAGCCAGGCTGGAAGAGATATAGAGAGAGAGTGTAGGTGAAGTCAAGGAGATGCCATGTAGCTGCTGAATGAAACCAACACCAGAAACTTTGCAGTAAGCCACAGCTTCGAGGTGATACACAGATTAATAGAAATGGGTTATTTAAGATGCAAGGGTTAGCTAGAAATATGCCTGAGTCATCAGTCAAACAGTGTTGTAATTAAAATAAAAGCAACTGCTGAACTTTCCAAAAGATGGGACAGTCCTTCAGGGTTCCTGATGCACAGGAGAAACTTCCAGACATTCTGCAGGGCACAGAAGAAAGCAACGGATGAACTTGACAAGGTAGAACAGATCATCAAATTTCCTATTTCATGGAAAAGTCTGCGGGATACTATGGGCCTGTAGGCTGAAGATGGATTCCCCAACAGTACAGAAGACTTTGGGCAATTACCCAGGCAGCAAGATGTCTCTGTCAATTCTAGAACTTTGGAAGTTGCTTACATTGCACTTCCTGTTTACTCAAGTAATATTATTTCCCTTCTCAGGCCTTTGATGGGGTTGAAGACTAGATAGTCATAGGTACTTTCCTCTCATGACTTAGCCAAGTCATTTTTAATATAAGACTTAGACTCCTTAGGATAGGATAACTATTGAAATATTTAGCATATGTTTTTTGTTTGATATTGCTCATACTGGTTGTAATTCTAATTATTATATTTGCTTTTGCCCCTTCTTTTCCCTGGACAATACTTTATATGTGTTATTATTGTATATAGTTTTCTACTAATCTTAGAACTCTCTTATTTAGACAAAAGGGGGAGGTGCTGTGGGGATTCCTTCAGCCCATAGCCTTTAAGATACCAGCCCACTTTGAGCATGGTCTAATGTACTATAAATGCAGACAAAAAGCGTGTGTGGCCCTCTTGGCTGCTGGATTTGATTCCCTTTCCCAGTGCATGCAGAGGACTGTGGAATGCTACCCCTTTTGTGAGTTTATCCCCAAATAAATAAACCTTATTATACGCCATTACAGGCTATTGTGGAGCTCTTTTGTATGCCAACAGTCCTGCTTCTTGAGTCACTAGAAGTGTGTATTTCAAGACTTGAGAGTCTTCTGTGTGTTTCTGTCTTTCTCTGTATTTTCTTCTTTAAGTCGCTGTGCCCCCTCTCTTCCCATTGCCCCCCTTTCCACCTCTATCACTATTCATGTTCTCTCTGTGTGTTTATGTTTACCTTTGTTTCTCTGTCTGATTGTCTCTCTGTCTCTGTCTCTGTTTATCTCTCTTCTCTTTTTTTCTCTCTCTCCTGGCCATCATGAGGTGGGCAATTTTCATCTGCCACTCTCCAACTTCAACTCAAGCTCATATTAACAGACTCAGGGGATCATGAACTGAAACACCTTCAACCTCAAGCTCAGATAGACTCTTCTCCTTACAATAGTGTCTCTTGACTATTTTGCTACAGTGACACATGACCATCTAACATAGGGTATAAACACCTAAACAAACCTCGCAGAGCAATTTCCCCTATTTTATCTGTATTGGCAGGGTACCAATACAGTTTTTTTTAAACAAACTTTAAAAAGTTTATAGAACAGGAACGTGGCACCAATAGGTATTTCTCCCACGATGACCCATCACTTCAGTGTTCATATTTTTCTTGAGCTACTTTTAGAATTTTATACTATTTTTGGAGAACTGTCCACAAGCTTCTCGTTATTTTTAGCGTGTCATTATGCACAGTAGACCCACATTTTAAAATTCCCTTCAAGACTGACTGTAGCATAGTGGCTGTGGCTGTTGCACAGCTGGTAGAGTCCTCTCCTACCATCCACAAAGCCCTGAGTTCTATC